GTCGTGTGCAAGGAGTGTGGGGGGCGCCCCGAGGGGCCTGCGGGGGCCTGCCACCGCTGCCGGGATGAGGTGCATTTTGACCCCCGCCAGAGGGGCCTGACCGAGAGCCGGGTACTGGTGGGAGGCCTTCGGGCCCACATCCCCTACATCCTGGAGGTGCAGGCGGTCAACGGGGTATCCGAGCTCAGCCCCGACGCGCCCCAGGCCGCAGCCATCAACGTCAGCACCAACCACGAAGGTGAGAGCTGCCTCCCAGAGCCTCACCTCCCCACCTGCCCCCTGCTAGCCCGGAAACCCCCTGACTCGCCCTTCCCCCAGTGCCCTCTGCAGTGCCCGCCGTGCACCAGGTGAGCCGCGCACCCAACAGCATCACCGTGTCCTGGCCGCAGCCCGACCACACCAATGGCAACATTCTGGATTATCAGCTCCGCTACTACGACCAGGTGCGGGGGCCCAGCGGGCTGCTGGGAGCTGGCGGGGTCCCGAGAGGCAGAGGTCAGGATCAGAGTGGACAGCAGAGGGCAGAGGCCAGCAGAGGGTGGACGTGTCCCTGGCAGCAGCTCCCGGTGTTCAGAGCTGCAAGAGTGAGTGGTTGTGCCCCCCCCCACCCCCAGGCAGAGGATGAGTCCCACTCCTTCACCCTGACCAGCGAGACCAACACGGCCACCGTGACGCAGCTGAGTCCCGGCCACATCTACGGCTTCCAGGTGCGGGCGCGGACCGCAGCTGGCCACGGCCCCTTCGGGGGGAAAGTCTATTTCCAGACGCTGCCGGAAGGTGAGGGGGGCCGGGCAGGCAGGGGGAGCAGGCGGCGGACAGCCCGTGTCTGCGGGGTGGAAGGGGACGCCAAGACCTGCACCCCTGTGACCCTGCTGGTCCCGCAGGGGAGCTGTCCACCCAGCTACCGGAGAAACTCTCGCTGGTGATCGGCTCCATCCTGGGCGCCTTGGCCTTCCTCCTGCTGGCCGCCATCACCGTGCTGGCAGTGGTCTTCCACAGGTGAGGTCCAGCCCGCACCCAGAGTCCCTCACAGCATCCCCTCTTTCCCAGCCCCGTCTGCCCCCACTGTGAAGAACCCACATCCCGCACCCCCAGCTGGGACCTGGAAAGTGAGAGGGGGGATGTGGGAGCGAGTGTCACTCAGAGCCTGCATCTGTCCCCCAGGAAGCGGCGTGGCACGGGGTACACGGAGCACCTGCAGCAGTATGGCAGCCCAGGTGGGATGGGGTTGGGGGGTCCCCGGGACCAGGCTGGGTGGCCCAGGTGGGGTGAGGCTGGGGTCCCCAGGACCAGGCTAGGTAGCCCAGGTGGGATGAGGCTGGAGGATCCCTGGGACCAGGCTGGGTATCCCAGGTGGGATAAGGCTGGAGGATCCCTGGGACCAGGCTGGGTAGCTCAGGTGGGGTGAGGCTGGGGTCCCCAGGACCAGGCTGGGTATCCCAGGTGGGGTGAGGCTGGGGTCCCCAGGACCAGGCTGGGTATCCCAGGTGGGGTGAGGCTGGGGTCCCCAGGACCAGGCTGGGCATCCCAGGTGGGGTGAGGCTGGGGTCCCCAGGACCAGGCTGGGTATCCCAGGTGGGGTGAGGCTGGGGTCCCCAGGACCAGGCTGGGCATCCCAGGTGGGGTGAGGCTGGGGTCCCCAGGACCAGGCTGGGTATCCCAGGTGGGGTGAGGCTGGGGTCCCCAGGACCAGACTGGGTATCCCAGGTGGGGTGAGTCTGGGGGTTCCAGGACCAGGCTGGGCATCCCAGGTGGGGTGAGGCTGGGGTCCCCAGGACCAGGCTAGGTAGCCCAGGTTGGGTGAGGCTGGGGGATCCCCTGGACGAGGCTGTGTATCCCAGGTGGGGTGAGACTGGGGTCCCCGGGACTAGGCTGGGTATCCCAGGCAGGGTGAGGCTGGGGGTCCCCAGGACCAGGCTGGGTTCTCAGGGTGCAGGTTCAGAGGTGTGGCCCCACACCTAGGGCTGGGCGTGAAGTATTACATCGACCCCTCCACCTACGAGGACCCCTGCCAGGCCATCCGCGAGTTCGCCCGGGAGGTGGACCCGGCCTACATCAAGATAGAGGAGGTCATCGGGGCAGGTATGGAGGGCCGGGCAGTGCCCAGCAGGGAGCCCGGGGCCTTCTGGGCCACCCCTCACCCCAACACACACACACCCTGTGCCCACCCGCCCCGTCCTCCCAGGCTCCTTCGGAGAAGTGCGTCGGGGCCGCCTGCAGGCGCGAGGCCGGCGGGAGCAGGCAGTGGCCATCCGGGCCCTGTGGGCAGGAGGAGCTGAGAGCCTGCAGATGGCGTTTCTCGGCCAGGCGGCCGTGCTGGGCCAGTTCCAGCACCCCAACGTCCTGCGGCTGGAGGGTGTGGTCACCAAGAGCCGGCCTCTCATGGTGCTGACGGAACTCATGGAGCTGGGTCCCCTGGACAGCTTCCTCAGGGTCAGTGCACCCGGGGGACCCGACCCTTCACTACTTCTGCACCCGCCTCCTGGCGTCGCCTTCTTCCTTCCAAGCCCTCTAGTCCCTGTGATGCCCTCTGTGCCATGTCCACTCCAGACCCTCCCCCCATCCCCACACCCTCTGTCCCCGTCAGCGCTGACACTGTGGTACCTCTCCTGCTCTTGTCCCTGCAGCAGCGGGAAGGCCAGTTCAGCAGCCTGCAGTTGGTGGCCATGCAGCGGGGCGTGGCCTCCGCCATGTGGCACCTGTCCAGCCTGGCCTTCGTGCATCGGGCCCTCTCTGCTCACAGCGTGCTGGTCAACAGCCACCTGGTCTGCAAAGTGGCCCGGCTCGGTCACAGCCCACAGGTAAGAGCAGCGGCTTGGTGGGGGGTGCAAGGAACCCCGTGTCCTCCAGGGGGTGCAGTAGAAGGAGCTGGAGCCGGAAGGGTGACAGCCTGGGTGTCCTATCAGGCGTTGAAAGGAACAGGGCTCACCTGGACCAGAGGCGGGGGCGACACTTGAGAGCCCGAGCTGAGGGGACTGGGGGGATTCCTGGGATCCCTCCGGCCACACCGTGGACCCCACCTCCTGCCCCTACGTGAGCAATGTCCAGGTCCAGACCCCCAGCCCCGGGCCTGGCCTCTGAGTGGGCATCAGAGCGTTCCAGCCGCAGGGTTGCTTGGAGGCTTGTTACAGAGCATCCAGGGTTCCAAGCAACCAGGCTCTGAGCAGCCGTGCCCAGCTGTGCTGACCACCCGGCTGGCCATGCTTATCCCTGACCCCGCTCCAGGGCCCGGGCTGTATGCTCCGCTGGGCCGCCCCCGAGGTGCTTGCCCACGGGAAACACACGACCGCCAGCGACGTCTGGAGTTTCGGGGTACTGATGTGGGAGGTAATGAGCTATGGAGAACGGCCCTACTGGGACATGAGTGACCAGGAGGTGAGTCGGGACCCCCCCCCCCATTGCATGACCCCCCCTTGCTGCCCGCCAGCCTTTCCCCACGTTCTACCTGCTTTCTTCCTGCACTCCCACATCCCGTGCGTGTCCTACTGTTCGGCCTCCTAGACTCATGCATGACTCCCCGTAGACACAGTTACACCTGTGGCCTCCTTGGACAGTCCCAAGGAATCCGAGCACCACAGTCAGAAGACGCTGCTCCGACTCACAGAGGGAGCCCCCCACCCGCACCCCACTTCCTGCCCCACTATTCCCAGCCCCCCCCAGCCCTGACGGCACTCTCCCCGCCTCCAGCACCCGCCTGCCCTCACCCCTTCCTTCCTCTAACCCCCCTCAGGTTCTCAGTGCCATCGAACAGGAGTTCCGGCTCCCGCCACCGCCAGGCTGTCCTCCGGGACTGCATCTGCTCATGCTGGACACCTGGCAGAAGGACCGGACCCAGAGGCCTCAGTTTGACCAGCTGGTGGCGGCTTTTGACAAGATGATCCGCAAACCGGACACTCTGCAGGCTGGCGGGGGACCCCGGGACAGGTGTGGCACGAGGGGGGGGTGCAAAGCCTGGGAAAGGCAGAGGGGGGCGGAGAGGCGATTCCACATGGAAGAGGGGGACCTTGACCTGCCTGCCTGCACCTCTCGGTCCCCCCTAGGCCTTCCCAGGCCCTTCTGAACCCCATGGCCCTGGACTTCCCTTCCCTGGACTCACCCCAGGCCTGGCTCTCAGCCATCGGCCTGGAGTGTTACCAGGACAACTTCTCCAAGTTCGGCCTCTGCACCTTCGGGGACGTGGCACAGCTGAGCCTGGAGTAAGTGGAAGCCGGAAGGAGGGAGGTGGCCGGGGCTCTGGGAGACAGCACTGTGCCCTCATGACCCCTTCCCCCTCCACCTCTGCAGAGACCTGCCTGCCCTGGGCATCACCCTGGCCGGCCACCAGAAGAAACTCCTGCACAATGTCCAGCTGCTACAGCAGCACCTGCGGCCGCCGGGATCTGTGGAGGTGTGAGCACTGCCCACCGAGCCCACCGTAGCCCCGGGTCCGTGTCCTGCCCCACAGGGCAGCCGGGATCGGCCAACCCACCATCCCCTCTCCCCCCGCCCCGGGCCGCCCCGCCTCATTAAAGGGGAAGAAAGGATTCTGCAAGCTGCTGGCCTGGCGAGCCCTCCGTCTGGGGAGGCCCTGGAGGAGGAGAGGCGGGGAGTGGGCAGAGCGGAAGCACATGGACAGAACCACAATGGGAAGGACTTTATTGGAAGGTGACCAGACTCCCCCTAGCTCCACCCCTCCTCCCAAAGCAGTGCTCCCTCCCAACTGTCCACAGCTCCCTGAGGAAGGGCTGTCGCCTTCCCACTTTGACACTGGCCTAGAACGGGGTGCCCGGGGAGGCCAGCCCGTCGTCCTTAAAGTGCTTTGCTCTGACAGTGCAGCGAACTTCCCTCTGGGCCCTGAGCACGCGCGCGCCACCTCCGGGCAGGCGCCGGGCTTGAGCTGCCTCTCAGTTTCTCTCCCTGCGTGGGTTCCTCCACTGAGGAGGCCCTCCGGAACTCCCGGCTTCTGAGTTCTGAGGCATTCGGAGGCGGTTCTCCCCGCCCTGGCCCGCCCGCAACGAGCCTCAGATCTGGTACTCCCAGGCCTCCCAGGGCTCCAGGGCCCGGTTGACCACACCCCGCATCTCTCTCAGCATCCCCATCCTCAGCGTCCCCTGACGCAGCCGTTCCCAGTTGGTGCTGCTTCGGGAGGTGCTTCGAGACACGGAGGGGCTGGGCAGGCACAGGTGGGTGCCCAGCAGAGGCGGGCAGCCTGGCTGCGGCTTGTCGCTGTCCTTGTCACCGCCGCCGCTGCCACTGTCATCGTCCAGGCTCGGGGTGTGGAAGGCCTGTGCGTAGCGCTGGATCCGCTGCCGGTTCAGGTCCTGCCTGTCCTCCACCCTGGTGGGGACGCGGCCGACTTGAGCTACAATAGCCCAGCCCCTGGGGGCTGCTGTTCCAGCAGGCAGCCACACCCTCCCCTCCCTGCCCCTGCAGCACCCTCTTCCAGCAGCCCTGCGGGGATCCCTGGCTATGGGCAGGGCTCTTGGGAAACAGGGAGGGAGGACCCCGCACCCCACACGGTAGGTCCTGTCACTCACCGCAGGAACCAGCGGTCCCCCAGGCCGTACTCGCGCCCACAGATCCCTGAGCGCGGCCACAGGAAGCGGGGCAGCTTCCGCTCCAGCATCACTGTGGTGGCCACGACCTGCAGAGGGGGACAGAGGGGGAAGGTCAAGACTGGGTTGGGAGTCTCCGCCGGGTGCCACAGGGTGAGGGCAGGGGTGCCGTCTTCGATCAAGGGCAAGGCAAGATCCAGGAGTGGCTGGGTTCCCGGAGGGGCTGCAGCCACACCCCGAGTTGGGGACCGGGGTCTCAGCCTCACTGTCCCTTATCTGCGGGAGGGACGCCAGGAGAGGGACTGAGCTGTCTCCTTGCCGGAGCAAGACTAAGTCCTACAGAAAGGGTCCCTGGGGTGTGGAGGGGGGGGGGGTGCTGCAGGCTCTCTTGACTCCCAGCCTAGAAGGCTCCAACATCTGGCCCAGGCAGCTGGCAGGGGAGAACTTGCAGGGGTAAAACCTCCCTCCTGAGCGAGCCCCATCTGGTGCAGGCTCCGAAGCCTCCGTTCCACCGACGCCCACTTTCAGGGGATTCCCACTTTTATTCTAACAAGATGGTTTCTGCAGGCGGGCAGAGAGATGCTCTCTGCGTTTCAGAGGATGCTTTACTGCACGGCCAGGCCTCTTGTCCCCCAACTGTGTTTCTCCCTGAGGCCAAAGATGGCATCTGCTCCTGGGGGAGGTTGGTGTGGTGGCATTTTTTTTTTTTAAAAAAAAACACTCCCACTGTTTCTAGGTCAAATTATGCAGACTTATATATCGCCAAGAAGGTGTGATACTCCTTTTCTTTCTTTTCTTTTTTTTTTAAGTCCCATAACAGAATGTACTGAAAGCTGTTTTAGTCACCGTTTTGGTTTATTTCTGGTTGGTTCCTATTCTGTTGACTTCAAGGGGGGTGGTGGGGGTGGGGAAGGTTTTTACTCTTTGAGAAAAGAGTGAGGAGGAATTCTTCGCGGCTCTATCATCATCACGGGTGTATGGCTCCTCCCGGGCCCCTGTTACACTTTGTATCCCATTATTTCCCTGGGCAAAAACTGTCCAAACCTTAGGGAATTCACAGCCTTGAAACCAGGTTTCCAAGAAGCATTCAGAGAGCTTCTCTAAGGGACAGGGACACACTTCCCAACATGTGGCACTTGGGGAAGGCACTCACTAATGCATATGGTTGTCATCCACTCGACTAAGGGCTGGAGCGATAGCACAGCGGGGAGGGCGTTTACCTTGCATGCAGCCAACATGGCCGACCCGAGTTCGATTCCTCCGTCCCTCTCAGAGAGTGTGGCAAGCCACCGAAAGTATCTCGCCCGCATGGCAGAGCCTGGCAAGCTACCCATGACGTATTCAATATGCCAAACACAGTAACAACAAGTCTCACGATGGAGACGTTACTGGGCCCGCTCCAGCAAATCGATGAACAACGGGAGGACCGTGACCGTGACCATGACCACTCGACTAAGAAAGCTTTGTTGACTCCCGGCTTGCTGAGGAATTTTACAAATTTTCAGGAATGCGTTAATGACTCATTTAAAGAAACTCGGTTCAAATCCCATCTGGGGTCAGAACAGCCCGTTGGCATCTGTTCCCTGCCCAGCTGGGCGGCCAGGAGGCGGCCGCCAGGACCCTCACCTGCGCCCGCCAGAGCTCGTCCCGCTCGTGGGCCACCCTCCAGTGCGTGTCGCCCATCATGGCGATCAGCAGGTTGAGCATGAGCAGCGTGGCGATGATGGCGAAGGCCGCGTAGGTGATGCTGTACATGAAGGGCAGGTCCACGTCGTAGTTGGCCGGCCCGTCGATGATGGTGAGGAACAGCTCAAAGGTGCTGAACAGGGACATGGGGTAGTCGTAGAAATGGCCCAGGTCGTCGGGGTCCTCTGTCTGGAAGATGATATAGAAGGCTGCTCCACCCAAGGGGATGAGAGTTACCATGGCGACCACGGACGCACAGGGGCCCCTGGGAGCCCCCGCCCCCTGACCTTGGCTTCCTGCATCCTGTCCTGGGTAGTAGTCTCTTGCCCTCCCCATCCCCAATCGTGCATCCACTCTGAGGGACAGGTCCCCCTCTGCATGGCCCCTCTGACTCCCACCTCCTCCCCTGACTTCTGCCTTCCCCGCCCTTCCCCCTGTGAATTCTGCCCCCCTCCTCTGACTCCCACCTCCCCTCCTTCTGACTCCCACCTCCTCCCTCTGACTCCCACCTCCCCACTCTGACTCCCACCTCCCCTACCTCTGACTTCTGCCTCCCTGCTCTGACTTTCACCTCCCCTTTCTGACTCTCACCTTCCCCCCTCTGACTGCCTCTCCCTCTGACTACTGCCTCCCCCCTCTGACTTCCACCTCATCTTCTGAGTTCCGCCTCCCCCCTCTCTTCTCTGACTCCTACCTCCCCCCTCTGACTCCCATCTCTCCCCACCGCCGATGACTTGTACCTCCCCCTCTGACTTCTGCCTCCCCTGTCTGTCTTCTGCCTCTCCCCTCTGATTTCCGCCTCCCTTCTCTGATTTTCCCCTCCCCCACCCCATGGGTCCCCACCCCCAATTGAGTTTATGCAAAGGCCTCAGGGCCACCCTTAGTCCATGCAGCCCACCCCCCCAGCCCCCCTCCCCCGCCTGGAGCAGACAGGCATCTCACCCGAAGCAAAGCCCAGGATGACCACAGCCATGAGCCAGCAGAAGCGCATCAGGTCCCCAAAGATCATCTAGGTGGAGACCCGGGGGGAGAAAGACTTTCACACTGGCCTTTCCTTGGTGTAACTCTGAGATTTCTGCCTCCCCCCCCAACCCCCCATAGCCCGTTCTGTTCTCAGGGCCCTGTGGGCAACCCATGGCCCTGCAGATGCCATCTCCTGGTCTGTGTGGCACAGGAACTGAGAATGATGGCATATTCCTGGAGGGGCTGAGGATGGGGTACACCACGTGCGGCCAGCAAAACCAGTGAGTGGAGGACCTGACCCTGCCCGGAAGTGGGGCAGCCCCAGTCCCCCGCCTGTTCTCCCAGGGGTTGGGGGCTGGGGGGCAGCACAGACCTTCTGGATCATGATGGTGAAGGGACCCAGCATCTGGAATCCTCGGGCAAAGTACATGACGTTGCACCAGCCCAGTACCAGGGCGATGGACATGGGCACCACCTCGCCGTTGGTGCTGGAGAGTCGCATCACCATGGTCACCAGCACCATGCAGGCATACGTGATGCTGGGGAGAGCAGGCAGCAGTCATGGGGAACCCCAGACACCCACCTCCACCCTCACTGCCTTTGCCAGGGCCACCCATGGGATTGTGCATGTCTCGGGGGCAGGAGCCTGGAATCAGGGCTGAGCTCGAGGGCGGAATGCATGAGGGTGAAGAAACTCACAGGAGGACGTGAAACGGCCCCCCGAGGATGGTGTGTCCAAAGAAGCGGGTGACACCCAACCGGAAGACATCTGGGATCTGGAGAGGGGACATGGGTGTGGTGCTTGGCAGCTCAGGTTGGCCCACCCCTCACGGACAGCCCCTCGGCTCCGCCCCAGATCCGGCCCATGACTCACCTCTATCAGCAGGATGATGACCGCCCCCACCACCGTCACCAGCTCCCCCACCAGCCTGATATGATCCTTGGGGGTCTCGTAGGCCTCCTGAAGTTGGGTTGGGGGACAACGGAGCCCTGAGGATTAGTCACAGCTGCCCAGCCTGTCACGCTGCCCCCCACCCTTCAAATGTGGTGTCCTACTCTGTGAGATGTGAGAGCGAGGTGGGCCCCAAGAGATGGAGGGTAGGAGAGGATCTCAGTGCGAGAAAGAAAGTGCAGAGACCCATGGTCAGAGCTAGGGCCAGTGAGGAAGGTGCTGGCCTTGCATGCAGCCAACCTGGGTTCAATCCCCGGCATCCTGTATCATCCCCTAGCTTGAGTGCAGAGACAGGAGTCAACCCTGAGCATAGTTGGGTATGATCCAAAAACAAAAGAAGAAAGGGGGAGAGAAAGAAGAGGAGGAGGAGGAGGAGAAATGGAAGAAGAGGAAAAGGAGCAAGAGGAGGAGGAGAAGGAGCAGTAGGAGGAGAAACAGCAGGAAAAGGAGGAGGAGGGGTACATGATGGAGGAAGAAAAGGAGGAGCCGGAGGAGGTAAGGGAGAAGGAGGTGATGGAGGAGGAGGAGCAGGAGCAAGAGGACAAGGAAAAGAAGGAGCAGAAGGAGGAGGAAGAGAAAAAGGAGGAGGAGGAGGTGGAGGAGTAGGAGCAGGAAAAGGAGGAGGTAAAGGAGGAGGGATGGAGGAGGAGGAAAGAGGAGGAGAGCAGGAAGAGAAGAAGGAGATGGAGGAGGAGGAGAAAGAGGAAGAGGAGCAGGAAGAGGAGGAGGAGGTAAAGGAGAAGGAAGGGATGGAGGAGGAGCAGGAGGAGGAAGAGGAAAAAGAGGAGGAGCAGCAGGAAGAGGACAAGGAGATGGAGGAGAAGGAGGAGCAGGAAGAGGACAAGGAGATGGAGGAGAAGGAGGAGCAGGAAGAGGAGGAGGAGGAGCAAGTAGAGGAGAAGGAGATGGAGGAGGAGGAGCAGGAGGAGGAGGAGGAAAAAGAAGAGGAGGAGCAGGAAGAGGAGAAGGAGATGGAGGAGGAGGAGGAGGAGCAGGAAGAGGAAAAGGAGATGGAGGAGGAGAAGGAGGAGCAGGAAGAGAAGGAGATGGAGGAAGAGGAGCAGGAGGAGGAGGGAAAAGAGAAGGAGGAGCAGGAAGAGGAGAAGGAGATGGAGGAGGAGGAGGAGCAAGTAGAGGAGAAGGAGATGGAGGAGGAGGAGCAGGAAGAGGAAAAGGAGATGGAGGAAGAGGAGCAGGAGGAGGAGGGAAAAGAGGAGGAGGAGCAGGAAGAGGAGGAGATGGAAGAGGAGGTAAAGGAGAAGGAAGGGAGGGAGGGAGGAGGAGCAGAAGGAGGAGGAAAAAGAGGAGGAGGAGCAGGAATAGGAGAAGGAAATGGAGGAGGAGGAGCAGGAGGAGGAGGGAGAGCCGGAAGAGGCGGAGCAGGAGGGGGAGCAGCTAGGGACCCCCAGCGGCAGAGGGAGCGGGGCTGACCTGCAGGGGCTTCTGCTGCAGGACCGTGGTGTCCCGCGGGTTGGTGCGGTTGTCCGTCCTGGGCTTCAGGGGCCGGTAGACGCAGCACACGGTGAAGCAGACGATGTAGAGCAGGTAGACGGCGCCCAGCACGCAGAAGTACGGCCGCCCGTACCGCTTCCACTTGAGACTCACCAGCTCCTTCACGGGGGTCTGGTCCAGGATCTGGCGAGCCTGCGTAGAGAACCCACGGCCCGGGAGGCTCAGAGAGAGACCCGCCCCCCGCCTTCCCCCGGGACACCCCCCAGTCCGACCCCCAGCCGGCCCGGACCTCGCGCTTCTTGGTGGTGACGATCAGTTCCAGCAGGGACGGCTCGTCCCCCGAGGAGTCGATCTCCGTGAGGTCGTACAGGGTGGAACTCAGCGGCCCGTAGGTCCACTGGATGTGCTTCCGCTTCTGCAGCAGGTGCTGGAACATCTGGGGTGGGGGGTGGGGACAGGGGAGGCGTCAGGGGGACAAGCGGAGGGGACAGGCCCAGAGTGCCAGGGGGTGGCGTGTCCAGGAGGACAGCACACAGGAAGGACCAACTGCTCATCCGTCCCATCCTGTAACCCCGCTAGAAGGGAGAAGGGGGGAGATGCGAGACTTGGGGGGTTACTGTTGCCAGCGGAGAGGGCCAGTGGACCCGAGGGTGACAGGACCCCGGAGGAGGGACAGTGGCCCTGGCTGATGAGAGCCTCAAATCTGAAACAAAAGTTCTAAAAATAGGGTGAAGCCTCAGGATGACCCGCAAGGGTCAGGAGGAGGGCCCTCAGCAGGGGTGGAGGGTGGGGGCGCCTCTCACCACGGTGTTGCCCTCCACGCCGGCCAGCTTGAAGGGGGTGAGGCCCTGGTGGTTGGGCACGAGGTCCAGGGACTGCAGCTGGCCACCCAGCCCGTCGTAGGACAGCAGCAGGTTGTACATCTGGCAGGCGAACGTCTTGTTGGGCTGCAGGGTGAGGATGTGCAGCACCGTGTTGCCTGCGGGCGGGGGGGTGGGGCGGGGGTCAGTGGCTGCACCCGCCTCCTGGCCCGGCCAGGCCAGGCTAGGCCGCCCTCCCGGCCCGGTGCTCACCCAGGGCGTCTTGGGCGCGGAGGTCAGCGCCGTGCTCCAAGAGCAGCCGCACGATCTCCTCGCTGCCCACGCAGGCCGCGAAGGACAAGGGGTGCTCCCCTGGGGACACAGAGGGCTCCTGGGGGGACGGCGCGGGCAGGGGGGCAGGGCAGGCTTCCCCAGGCCGGCCCTGTGCTCCCTGAGGAGGCCCTGGGCAGCGGGACCAGGCGGGGGCGAGGACTGGGCGCTGCCCTGCCCACCCGCCAACCTTCAGGGGTTCCCAGCACGGAGCTGCCCCCTGCCCCTGCCCCCTGCCCCGGGCCGGTCCCGGCTCCCACCGAAGTAGATGAGGTTGCGTGGGCTGAGCTGGAAGGCGCTGCCAGTGGCTCTGGCCGACACGCTGGCGCCTCGGGCGAGCAGGGCGCGCACCAAGTTCACGTTCTGGTTGACAATGGCGATGTGCAGGGCCGTCTGACCTGGAGCCCAGAGACCTGATCACGGGGAGCCCCAGAGTTCTGTGGGAGCCCGGAGAACCCCTCCCCTTGTGGTGGTCTCCTCCTGTGTAGCTGGGGTGGGGGAGGAGGAGGAGGAGGAGGAGGAGGAGGAGGAGGAGGAGGAGAAGGAGGAGGAGGCAAGAAAGAGAAGGGGAGGAAGAGGAGGAAGAAGAGGAGGAGAAGAGGAGGAGGAAGAGGAGGAGGAGAAGGAGGAAGAGGAGGAGAAGGAGGAGGAGAGGAAGAGGAGGAAGAGAAGGAGATGGGAGGAGGAGGAGGAGGAGGGTAGGAGGAGGCAAGAAGGAGAAGGAGGAGGAAGAGGAGGAAGAAGTGGAGGAGAAGAGGAGGAGGAAGAGGAGGAGGAGAAGGAGGAAGAGGAGGAGAAGGAGGAGGAGAGGAAGAGGAGGAAGAGAAGGAGATGGGAGGAGGAGGAGGAGGAGGAGGGTAGGAGGAGGCAAGAAGGAGAAGGAGGAGGAAGAGGAGGAAGAAGTGGAGGAGAAGAGGAGGAGGAAGAGGAGGAGGAAGAGAAGAGGAGGAGAAAAAGAAGAGAAAGAAGAGGAGAAGGAAGAGGAGAGGAGGAGGAGAAGGTGGAAGAGGAGGATGAGAAGGGAAAGAGGAGTAGTAGAGGAGGAGGAGAGGAGGAAGAAGAGGAGAAGGAGGAGAGGAGGAGGAGGAGGAGGAGCAGGAGGAGCAGGAGGAGCAGGAGGAGGAGGGTGGGCTCTCAGGGTTCCGTGGGGAACACATTCCTGCCCCCACTCAGCTCTGCGCACGTCAGGGCAGCTGTGGAGGGCAGGCAATCAAGCAGATGGAGAGAACAGGTGGGACAGGGGCTCAGGTGCCCCCCGAGCTCTGCAGGCAGCCCAGCCCCTTGGGGGCTCCCAGACCGGGTCTCACCCTCATACAGCTCCGACATCATGGGCTCGAAGACCAGCTCAGGGGCGGCGTCCATCAGCACCACAGCCGCCTCCAGGTTGTCGTAGAGCGCAGCGATGTGCAGCGCTGTCTCCCCCAGGGCCCCTGGAGAGCACAGAAGGGAAAGTGTGGGGGGCTCGGGGGTGGCAGGCTGGGCTTGGGGGGCCGGGTCAGGGGCACCCCTCACCTCTCTGGTGCACCTCGCAGGTCTCATACTGCAGCAGCTTGTGGAGTGCCTGCACGTCATTCTCCTTGGCCGCCAGGAGGAAGGGGGACTCCCAGATCCTGGCAGAAGGGAGAACAGCTTGGCTTCACCAGAGACACAGTGACCATCGGCATAATGACCCCCCACCGCCCTGGGGTCCCCGAGGCAGGGAGGCACGGGGGGACCTGATCTCTTTCTTTCATCCTGTCCAGTTCGGTGACAGGACCGGCGTCTCCCCTTTCAGCTGCCGAGGGCACAGACCAGCGGGCACTGGGCTGGGGTGGGTGTGGGAGACTGTTGTCTGCATATGGAGGGCTGGGAGGAGTCAAACACTCCTCACCTCCTGCCCTCCTGCCCTCGGGAACAGCCCAGGTTTATGCTCTGTGCCCGGAGATGCCTGCTGAGATAAGCCTGTTTTCCCGGGTCAGGGGTACAGGCTCATCTCGTGACTGCAGTATCCCAGGGAAAGTTCCACTTCATGAGGGGTGGTGTGTGTGTTGTGGTGAGGCTCTGGGGTCCCGTCTGCCCAGAGCCACGCCCCAGGCCTCTCTAACCCTGTCCGCGCCTCCCCCACGAACATCTTGAGGGGCTTGGTTTGGAAACAAAGACCCTCTAAATTCTCTCCGGAGTTTTCATATAGTGAACTGGGACTTGTTTTCCTTTCATCAAATTTTTACCTTGACTGAGATGCTTGAGAGCCAGACGCAGAGGGCAGGGGGTCCCTTCTCAGTCCCTTTCCTCTCTCAGCCATCGGCCAGTTGGCCTTTCTTAGGGCGCCAATGAAATAGCTGGATTTACCCTTAGATAAGTACCTGGATTTACCTTTGGATACCCTTGGATATCGCTAAAACGATAGCACAGCAGGTAGGGCATTTGCCTTGCACATGGCCAACCCGGCCAACCAGGGTTTAATTCCTCCGTCCCTCTCAGAGAGCCCGGCAAGCTACTGAGAGTATCCTGCCCGCATGGCAGAGCCTGGCAAGCTCCCGATGGCATATTCGATATGCCAAAAACAGTAACAAGTCTCACAATGGAGACATTACTGGTTCCTGCTCAAGCAAATCGATGAACAATGGGAGGACAGTGCTACAGTGCTATCCTTGAATGGCCGCTGATGGCACACACAGAACAGAGAGAACCTGGGGTGCTGGTCAGTTTGAAAATTTTGAGTTCTGAGCTGGGGGAGAGGCCCCCAAGAGTCCCAGGTCCCCACTTCAGGCCACTAGGCCTGGTCATTGCAAAACAGAACATTCTCTCCTCGTTCCATCTGTCCGCTCCTCCTCCCAACTACCCTCACTGAATCAGCTCCAGCCAAAGAGGAGTGAAACTCCTAGCTAGCTCTTTCCCTGCGCCTTGTTTGGACTCAACCCATCCTCGTCAAAACTGCAAAGATAATCCCTAAAAAATAAAGATGATCACAGTTACCAAATGTTACGGATCCTTAGACATCAAAGGATGGGTGCAGTCTCTCTGACCAGCATCACCCACCCATTTCCTTGCTCTCACTCCTTAGACCCAGTCCTTTGCCTCATCATCCCAGACCACACTGTTCTTCAATGCCCTGTGCCCGGTCCTAACACCACTTGCAGCCTGAATCCAGAGCCAACCAGCCAACCCACTGCGGTTCTCAGTCTCATCTAAACTCTGCTTCCTGCTCCTGAGACGAGGCCCAGCGCTGGCCTCATTGCTACCTGCAGGCTGAAATGATTCGGTGACTGTTCCCAGGGTGTGGGGTGGCCTGATGGGCCCTCCAGGTTATCTCCAGGAGCCATCTTCTCAGCCCACCCTGGGCAAACACAATGTAAGTGAAAAAAAAAAATAGTGTGTTTGGTATGCAAACACAGCTGCAAAGCAAGTGTTTGACGCAGTCTTCACCTCCACCAACTTCCCAACCATCTGTTCCGACCCTTAGAATATCATATTCCCCAAAACACAGACACACAGACACAGACACAGACACAGACACACACACACACACACACACACACACACCCCTTTCCCTAGAAATGCAAAGTGTTCCCTCTCTTGAATTCCTTTTTCTGTGTTGCACGTATACTGTTTCTTTTCTCTCTGTAGCACAGAAAGGTATACACCAGAAAGGTATACGCCTTTCTCCTGTCTTTGCATCCTTTTCCTGCCGTCCTCCACTCAATGAGCTTCCAGTTTCCTGCCCCATCTGGCTAAGCGCGTGATGGTTCGTAGCAAGGGGCAGTGGGCTCTCAGATCCACAGCCTGATTCTGCTTCCTGTCCCCAACCTGTTCCTGTTGATCCCTCAAGCTCACAAAGGTGCCCTACAAACCTCCATGCCCCCTCCAGCCCTTTCCCTGTCTCTGCCAACAGCCCTAGTGAACCTGGAAAGGATAAGGAAAGGAGCTACTGTCAGAACTGGACCTGCAGGTTTTCCAAATAAAACAGATTCTCAATGATACGGGACTTTGAGACACACAAGGAATAACGTTGGAGCAGTAACTCCCTGCAGGGCCTGGGGGTTAGGGATGGCAGGGCACGCCCAATGGTGCTAAGGAGGCTGGGGGCAGTATCCGGGATGGACTCCCTGCCACTGGAACCAGATCCCGGCTTCAACTAATCACTTTTTTTTTACGTAGGCATGCCTCTGCCCATACTCAGGATATACCTAGACAAAGAGCTTAGGTACTGTTTCTCTGAAATGCCAGCATCCTGTATCTTATCCAGTGTCCTCGGTCAGACTGGATTCGATAAGAAAACAGTTTAAGTGCCAAAGCAACCGAGTTTGTCAAGACCTAACTTGCTTTTGTTGGCAAACCAGATCCAGCCCAAAGGGGACAGTGCTTGGAGGTGCTGGGAAGAGAGAGCCAGTTCTTGAAATAGCAGCACGTGGCCAGAAGGGGGCAGCAGAACTGGTCGCCTCCACACCTGTGGGCTCCATAGACAGGGGCGGGAAGGGACCTATCCAGAGATTCTTGTGCCTCGGGCATGAATAGTTTCTTACTAACAATGCAGCACTGAAATTTAGATCAGGAGTAAAAATCTACACCTCCATACCATCTCTCTTGTCAGTTACCTCCCTTGAGTAGGAGGAGGACAAGGATTGTGCTGACTATGACCGTCCCAAAGGGAATTTCTTTATTAATTTTAACTTTGTGGAATTCTCAGCAGCTCCTATTATTTACAAACATGACTTTCGAGCTTGCTGTTGGGGCACGGTTGTCCGTCCCCTCTCCTTCCCAAGGGATTCGGCAATGACTTGGGGCCTTGGGAAGGGGTGGTCCCGGCATCTGGTACAAAGAGGATGGGGGTCAAGCATCCCATTCATGCCAGGGTGGAGAAGCCCAGATTCTGAGCTCTGACTATCCGTAATCTACTGTGATGAGGTGACCCTGAATTAGCAGAAAAGCCAAGTGAATAGAGAGGCAGGTAACTGCATAAAAATAGCTGGGGAGCAGGCCGAGAGCCTCCAAGGACACAGGGACACAGTGCCCAGACAGAGAAAGTCCGAGTTCAGACTAAGGAACCATTGCACAGTGCTCCTTGTGGCTCCTGAGTAGAAAACGTTTTTTAACCATCCAAGGCTGACCGCAAGCAGCTGGCTTCTGCATGGTGATGGAGCTTGCTTGGTTTAGCTAATGAGAAAGTTGATTGATGAGCCTTTAGAATGCAAGGGGAAATGTTTAAAACTTTGTTCCGGGCTCAGGTTCGGGGCTGTGGCTGCACTGAGACCTTCGCTCTCAGACTTGGTGGCCCCTACAGGTTAATAAAGCCTCTTCAGTTCAGCAAATGCACGTGAACGAGAATTCCTTGGGAATCTCTCACCATGCAACCTTATTCTTTTAAAATGAGGTTTTTGCACCTTCAAAAGAATGAAAAATCCCCCCTGCCTACTTTTCTCACAAATCAAAAACCTACTAAGGGATTGTTCAAAGGAAGCCTAAGCTAATGGAATCCCCCAAAGAAGCCTAGGGGAACAGTTGCCAAACTGTAGGAGAGTGAAGGGGTTGACAGGGTTTAATCGCGTACAGATCTGCCGGGCCCTAAACTGGAAACCGTCTCCTTTGACTTTTTCTCTGCACCTCAGTGTTCAGGCCAAGGCAGTCCTCTCTGAGTGCCCAAACCCTCTCTGGACGCCCACTGAGCTCTACTAATACAGCCCAGGGTCAGCAGTGGACGGTGGCACCCCCAGAGGGTGCCCGGGCAGACACAGAGCCCCCAGGAGCTGAACTGTTGCTCTCATCAGGTGCTCAAGGGCACCCTCACCTAGTGAGGGTCTCGCCCACTTCCTCATAGTCGCACCCTGTCTTCCTTTCTCTACACAGGGGAGCGCCCGCCTGTGTGTGCCCGTCTGTGAGTGCCCGTCTGTGAGTGCCAATCTGTGAGTGTGTGTCTGTGAGAGCATGTCTGTGGTGCCCGTCTGTGAGTGCCGATCTGTGAGTGTGTGTCTGTGAGAGCGTGTCTGTGAGTGCCCGTCTGTGAGTGCCCACCTGTGAGTGCGCATCTGTGAGTGCCTGTCTGTGTGTGCTCACCTTTGAGTGCCTGTTGTGAGTGCCTGTCTGTGTGTGCTCACCTTTGAGTGCCTGTTGTGAGTGCCTGTCTGTGTGTGCCCACCTGTGAATGCCCATCTGTGTGTGCTCAAATGTGAGTTCCCACTGTGAGTGCCCGTCTGTGTGTGCCCATCTGTGAGTGCCCATCTGTGAATGCCCACCTCTGTGTTCTCATCTGAGTGCCCATCTGTGAGTGCCTGTCTGGAGTGCCCACCTGTTGTCACCTGTGACTCCCCACCTGTGTGCCACCTGCGAGCACCATTTTTGTGTACTAATCTGCGACGGTGTCTGCGAGTAGCCAATTGTGGTTTCCGCCTGTGTGTGCTCCCTGTGAGCACCTACTTGTGAGTGCTTGCCTCTGTGTGCCTACCTATGAATGACATCTGGAGTGCCCACCTGTGAAGTCCCTGCCCGCACCTGTGCGTGCCAGCTTTGTGTCCACAGGGGTCTGTGCTCATCGGTGTGTGCATTGTGTGTGCATCAGAAGAAGGAGGAGAGCATGCAGAGGAAGGTGCTGCTTTTGTTGCTGGGTGACGAGTCAGCACCCAGGGTGTGAGAAGAACCCCAGGCGGACCTCGGGCTCTAGAGAGTGGCCGGAGCCCGGGGCACCCTCCAGTTCTAGCCTGCTGTGACTTGTCCACACGAGCCTTCCCAGGGCCACTTCTCGGTCCCTTTGTCTGAGTTTTACTGGGGTTTGAGGAGGGACTGGCTGGGAGACTCTGAGAACTGTGGAGATACACGAGGGGACCCTGATTTCTGCACATCACCCACACAGACAGATGCGTCAGTGTGGGGGGAAGCTCACTGGCTCCGAGGATGGTTCCGGGGGTCCTTACCAGGGGGCCCCTCTGACAGGACAAAGTTCCCGCCATCCGCCCTCCATCACCCGGAATTGCCTTCTTGCCATTGGGGGTGGGGGGAGTCTGTATTTCTTTAAGTCACGACATCCTGACATGTTCAATGGGCTTCTTAGCTTCCAAAGAAGCAAGCAGCTCACTGAGGGTCTCTTTTGCCCTTATCACCCCCTCTCCCTGGCTCAAGCCATTCTTGAGCTTTTCATGAAAGGAAACTGAGGCACCCCCCCACCCTCCCACCCCCACCCCCATCAGGGCTGGTTCACACAGAGTTAAAGCTGAAGACTCGCCCAAGAAAGTAGCCGCAGGGTTTCACCACTCAATTATGTGGTTCTTCTAGTTTTGTGACTCTTCCCAATTTTTTTCTTGGGGGGGTGGAATGGTGTTTCAGCCCTTAGAGGTGACCACATGAAAGGAAGGAACAGTGAAGTGTGAGGAAGAGGTTTGCAGGACTCAGGGGGGAGGGGGCGGGCACATCCCTGCATAGTGCCTCACAGACTCTGGCCTGCAGAGGCCGCGGCCTCCCCAAGGACTGGACAGAGGAGGCTCCTGCAGAGGAGGCCGGGCTGGGGCAAAGGTTGGGGAGGGGGAATGAATCTTTGGGGCAGCCTCAGCTGCTGAAACCAAAAACTGCTCCCTGACACCCATCTCTGCCCTTTGGGGACCCAGAATACGGGCTTGTTCCACCTACAAAGGAGCCTAGGGGTCCATCTGGGACCAAGACCATGAGTGGGGCCAGGGAGACACGGCTTGGGGGCTGGAGTTGGGGTCTGCACACACCAGTCCTGGGGTTCCATCCCCAGCATCAGATGTGTCCGCGAGCCCCGCCAGGAATGAGTCCCAAGCACTGAGTTAGGAGTGGCCCCAAGCTACTCCCTGTCAAAGACCATGAGCATCCCGAGAGCAGGGCAGGTGGCAGACTCCCAGACGGGCACTCACAGACGGGAACACACAGGCGGGCACTCCCCCATGTAGAGAAAGGAGGACAGGATGAGACTGAGGAAGTGGGTGAGACCCTCACTAGGGCCCTTGAGCACCCGACGAGAGCAACAGTTCAGCTCCTGGGGACTCTGTGTCTGCCCGGGTACCCTCTGGGGGTGCCACCGTCCACTGCTGACCCTGGGCTGTATTAGTAGAGCTCAGTGGGCGTCCAGAGAGGGTTTGGGCACTCAGAGAGGACTGCCTGGGCCTGAACACTGAGGCGCAGAGAAGAAGTCAAAGGAGACCGTTTCCACAGGCCCGGCGGGATGCACCTTAAGTCACAGGGCCCCAGGGAGAGGGGTTGCTGAAGGAGGCGGGGAAGAATTGAGAGTAAGACCTGGACAGGTGTTGGCAGCAGAGGGGCTGCTAAGGCCCGAGAGAAGTCTGCCGGAGAGAGCCGGGAGTCTCGCCTCCGCTGGGAGCACCCCCTTCTCGGGCAGCAGCTCCCCTTACCCACAGTCTCTTGGGCACACTCCTACCTCCCCCACCTGCTCCTGGGGCTCTGTGTCCTGCTGCTTTAGGGGCTCACAGGTGACAAGGTGGGTGTCAGCTCCTGTCCCCACATCTCCCCACCCCAGGGACATCTGCGTCTCGCTTCAGGGTCATCCCTGCATCGGGCGGATATCTCTCCACGCAGTCTGGTGGACGGCACAGCCTGGGACACCGCCCTCAAGGCCATTCAAGGTCAGTCCTTTTCGGGGCCGCCCACTTGCTCCCGGGGTCCTCACCGTGGGGGCCTCACAGACCCGCTCGGGCGAGTCCTCCCCAGCTGACAGTAAGAACTGGGGTAGGAAGACAAGTCGGGGTGCCCCACTTAGGTCCTTTACTGCATCCCAACCCCTGGGCCCCCCCTTCCAGGTGGTGGGTGCTGTGCCCCCAGCCCGGGGACCCAGGAGTGGGAAGATGAGAGCTGTCCCCAACAACAGCCCCATTCTGCGGCTCCAATGTGTCATCAAGCAAACATGCGTGCAACCCTGGTCTCCCAGGCCCGGGGGGAGAGAGGTGGGTGGCGGGCGTGAGAGACAGGAAGCCAATGTCAATGTAGAGAAAGAGACAGAGGGACAGAGAGAGAAAGAGAGACAGAGAGAAAGAGGTAGAGCGACAGAGAAAGAGAGATACAGAGAGAGAGAGGGAGAAACACAGAAACAGAGAGACAGAAAAAGGCAGAGAGATGGAGAAAGAGATAGAGACAGACAGAGGGAGAGACAGAGAGGGAGAGAGACAGGGAGAAGAGGAAGAGAAGGATGGAGAGAGGGAGAAGAGAGAGAGAGGGAGAGAAAGAAGGAGAGGGAGAGAGGAGAGGGAGAGAAAGACGGAGGGAGGAGAGAGGAAGAAAGGGAGAGGAAGGAGAAAGAGGGAGACAGAGAAACAGAAACGAAGAGACAGAAAAAGGCACAGAGATGAAGAAAAAGAGATAGAGAGAGATAGACAGAGGGAGAGACAGAGAGGGAGAGAGAGAGGGAGAAGAGGAAGAGAAGGATGGAAGAAGGGAGGAGAGAGAGGGAGAGAAAGAAGGAGAGGGAGAGAGAGAGGGAGAGAGAGAGGAAGAGAGGGAGAGAAAGAAGGAGAAAGGGAGGAGAGGGAGAGAAAGAAGGAGAGAGAGGGAGACAGAGAGGGAGGGAGAGGGAGAGAGGGAGACAGAGGAGTCAAACAGACCCTTTTCTGTGGATGGCAGGGGTGAGAGACAGGAAGTCGAATTCAATTTAGAGAAAGAGACAGAGGCAGAGGCAGAGAGCGCTCCTTGGCCAGGAACACACAGCCCCCAGAGGTGGGAGACCTCCAAACACAAGCACTTCCACTTCTCCCAGGGAACAGCCTCGTTCCCTGCCTCTGAGGCACCCGGGAAAGCCAGTGGGAGGACTTCCGACCAGCGCCACACGCAAACACAGGCAGAGACGCCCACTCCACTATCCCCTATCCCCCCTCGGCTCCCTTCCCCATCACCCCACCATCCTCTCCTCTCCCATTCCTCCCACTATCACCAGTCACACCCTGCAGCCCCTCAGGGGAGTCAGAGCAGGGGATGAGAAGAGACTCAATGAGTTTCGGGAAGTTTCCTCGGGAGCTTACAGCCCCAGGTGCGATGCCCCTAGGCATGTTCGCTGTTTCAGCCCAGGCCCCTGGCTCCTGGGAGAGGTGAGTGAGCCCAGAGCTGGCCCCCTGTGTTCCTCTGCATGCCCCCAACACTTGTCAGTCCTCTGTGGGTGCCCCAGTGTCCCATGCCACACACAGACGCATCTCTGTGGGACACGTCCCCTTCTGCCTCATCATTCATTCATTCATTCATTCATCCATGCCATCTGCTCACTCATCCACCCACTCCATTCATTCATTCATTCATTCATTCACCCACTCAGCCATGCCCACTGTGTTCATGGGCCCAGGTGGAGCAAGAGCAGGCAGCAAGAGAGCCCTGAGTCTGGCCAGCCATCAGCCCCGGGGGCGTTGGAGGATTTGGGGCCCCGGCTAGTGCCTGGAAGTGGCCCTGGGCAGAGGAGCTGGCTCACTGGGATGGATCTTAGAGACACTGGTCAGCAGTCAGCAACCCTACCCACCTCACACCTGGGGAGCTCCCCACCCCGCTGGCCAAAACTCTTGGGATGAAGTGCTCTCAAGGGGCCAGGCCTGGAAGGACACGGTGTCCAGAGAGAGGTGCCAAACAGAGGCAGGGAGGGCAGTGGAGGAGGAGGAGGAGGAGGAGGAGGAGGAGGAGGAGGAGGAGGAGGAGGAGGAGGAGGAGGAGGAGGAGGAGAAGGAAGAGGAGGAGAAGGAAGAGGAGGAAGAGGAAGAGGAGGAAGAGGAGGAGGAGGAGGAGAAGGAAGAGGAGGAGGAGGGGGGAGGGCAGGGGTGCTGGTGCGGACGGGCGAGCCCCCTGGGGTCCTCACCTCTGCTGCTGCTGCAGGTTCAGCTCATCACGGCTCTGTGTCCACAGCTCCTGTCTCTGGAACCATCGGCAGAACTTTCTCCACAGGCAGAGAATCAGCCCCTTCTCCCTGGGCAGAGACAAACCCATGGGGTCCGGGCCGGCACCTTGGGGGGCTGAGGCCAAGGCCAGACCCAGAGTGGACTCAGCCTTGGGGCCACATGGGCCCTCCCAAGGGCCGGCCTGGCCTCTCCCCGAGGAGTTCTCTTGGCCTTCCCGCCTGGCCCCCGGCAGCCAGGGTGGACCGTCCACCAGGCGGCCAGACCGAGAGAAGTGACAGAGCCGGGATCTCCCAGTGTCTGTGTAGCTCCTCCTGGGAGTGCGCCAGGGAGGAGCCAGGTGGACACTCCCTCTCCTCCCGAATTACCTGAGATTTAAAGAGACAGGCCCCCAGCCCTTCCGGGCCCGCCGAGCAGGTCTCCCTCTCAGGGACACCCGCTCCATTTCCCTGCCTCCCCGGCCAGGGCCACGGAAGGAGGCCGTGCTTGGACTTTGGGACACCAGTGACTTTTATAGAAAGGTCTGGACAGGTCAGCCCAGCATGAAAGGAGTGAGAGGCGGGGAGGAGCGGGCAGTCACTGGGCGCCCAGGGGCCAGCAGCCACGTTTCTGGGGGGGGGAGGGGCTTCTGTCTGCGCCCCCCCCCCCCACCCCGCCAGCCACTTCAGGGTCTTCCCTCCTAGCATGTGGATTCCCACCTGTCTGGCCAGAAGACCCCAGTGCCCTCGCTGGGCAGCTCCAGAGAGCTGAGATTGGCAGCATCTGCCCGAAGGCACCCAGCTTGGGACCACTTCTGACTCCTCGGCCAGGGAGCCAAGTGGAGCCGTGCTGCGCGAGCAGGACAGTCTTGACCCCCAAAGACACAGACCTCCTGCTCCTGAGCTCCGAGCTCCGGGGACACTCCCTGCCCCCCTCCCAGTGACATAAATGATAGGCCAGCGACACACAGGGTCCCTGGTTCTGTGGATGTCTTGGATTAATAGCAACGACTGCTCTAAAGGATAAATGAGCCCTTCTGACTACAGGATTCTTTCCAGAACCTTCCACAGAAGGCGGCCTGGCTGCCCCCAGCTACTGCCCACGAGCAGGAAGCAGGCGCCCACCTTTGACTGAGGCTCATGGCAGGAAGGGAACGCGAACCACCCAGGCCACAGCACCATCAGCCTCCGCCTGATGCCAAAGCCCACCAGCCTTACATCCGCAGCTCTGTGACCCCATGCCTGTACGTCACCACCCTGCATGGCAATCCGAGTGCCCCAGCCCTGTGCCCTCCCATCCCTGAGCCCCCATCCCAGTGCCCCCCACCTGCGCCCCCCAGCCCTGTGCCCCACCATACACCCTCGTTCCCACTGGTGCTGAGGGGTCCAGAGAGGTGACGTGTCTCCTAGTGAGGTCACTCAGGAGAAACGGATGGGACCTGAGCCATGCTACCCTCCTGTCCCCCAGAACTCCCACAGTTGGGGGCAGTGCCCTGGGAGGAAATGGGGGTGGTGTCGCACAGTCAGTGCCAGCCAGACCCCCAAGGCTTCCGGGCCTTTGGAATCCCTGGGGTGGGGGCAACGCATAGTTGGGAGTCGGTCCTCCTCCATCTCTGATTCAGAACGAGGGGCACATGGCAAGAAGTGTGCATGTGTATGCACGTGTCATGTGTGTGCATGGGTCATGGGTGTGCGTGGGTCATGTGTGTGTGTGGGTCATGTGTGTGCACGTTTGTGCACCCTGGTGTTGGCGTGTATGCATATGTTGTGCTGTGTGTGAGAGCATGCGTGTGCCATGCTCACATGTGTCATGATGGGCGTGCATGTGTCCTGATGCATATGTGTCATCTGTGCCAGTGACATGGTACATACACATGCATGTGCTCAAATGAACATGTGCTGTACATGAAAGCATGTGTGCAGGTCATATGTGTTTGTGTTATACTGTGCATGTTCCTGTGCATATGTGCGTGTGTGCATGTGTCCTGGTATTGATGATATGCACATGTGTGTATATGTCATGGGTACACATGGTGTGTACATGTGCATAAGCTATGGTATGCGCACGGGTGCACCTGTTTTCTGGTATATGTATGTGTTCTGGTGTTCGTCTACGTTCATGTGTTGTAGACACATGTATATGTGTGGTCATGGTGTGTGTTTGTCATGTGATATATCATGGTGCATGTGTCTGTATTGTGCTGTGTGTGTGTGTGTCTGTGCTCTGGTGTGTGGAGCTGTTCGTGTGTGTGTTCACGGGTTGGGAGGGGCACACGGGTGTGCGTGTTGTGATGTGTGTGTACGCACATGTCCTTGTGTCCTTGTGTGTGTGGAGAGTGGGGAGCATGGTCGCATGGGTGGGGTGTGTCTGTGGGGACCCTCCAGCCTGAGACTCCAGCCCAGGTGGCAGCTGGGCTGTCAACGGTTCTTGCTGCTGCGCTGAGATCAGCCCCGCGCACTGAGCAAACAGTGTTGTTCAATCAACTCCTTCCCCACCCAGCCAGGGGTCAATGGGTTTGGGCTGGGTGGGGGGAAGGTGCTAGAAACCCAAACCTTGAACCCAGGACCTTTGTGCCCATTAAGCCAGTGTTTGCCTTCAGAGTTCCCATCCCCTCTGTGTGTGGGGCTCCAGGCAAAGCCCCTGACCCAGTGCCCTGGGCCGGGGGAGGGCAGGGAGGCTGGGGGGGGGGTGGTGTCGGGCGCCTCCCTCCCTACTCTCTTTCCTTCGCAGCTTCTTCCACTTGCCTGACTTTGCTCTGCTGGGGTCCCTGTGGCAGGCAGGAGAGGGCTGAGACCCGGGCCAATGAGGGCACCCAACTAGGCACTCGCTCCAGCGGCATACTCTCTCTCCCTTCCTGCATGTGATGGGTTAATGGCACCCTTTCCTCTCAGGTCTTCAAGTCACCTGTGCTGCATTTGGTAATGGGGAGAAGTCAGCTGGGGAGGGGACAGGAAAGATGTCTTGGAGCAACGCTTGAGTGACAGCATCTCCGTGTTCCCCACTCCACTGCCGCTTGGCCCAGGAATTGAGGAGCGTTGGGGTACAGAGCCTGAAAGTCACAGGCTGTCCCCTCAGGGAAACACCCCAGGCCCCGCTCCACATTCCACACTGAAGAAAGCTTTTACAATCCCGGGCACTTAGGGGTCCCACCTGTGAGCACAAGCTAAGACCGGGGGAACTAATGAGAATAGGCAGAGGGATGCTAATGGCCCTTTGTATTGCAGACTGAACCCCATCTTGAAGCCAATGTAAGATTCTTGGCATGCAGGAAGTCCATCGGACTGAATGGCCTCTTCCATGGCCATGAGGGCAGGGCCGGGCTGATGCCGGTGCCTGGGGTGGGGGCGGGGGGGGGCATGCCAGTGTCTGAGTTTATATGTTGGATCCGTATATGTCTGTGTGTTAGCCTGCATGTGTGCACATCTCTGTATGAGTATGTGCTTATCACTGTGTTCATGTGTCTGTTGTGTCCATGTGTGTACCTGGAAGTACCTCAGCGTGTGCATGCATGTGGCTTCAGTGTAAATACATGTATGGATGCATGCATCCATATGGACTCGTGTGTGCATGCATGTACCTCAGAGTGCAGGTGGTTCTGTCTGTTTTCACGTGTGTGTGTGTTTGTGTGTGTGTGTGTGTGTGTGTGCATGTATGTAGGCTCACAGCATCACTGTAATGGCCGAGGAGTGCAAGGAGGTGCTTCTGCATTCAGACATGGTCTCTTGGCCTGGACACTCAGAGGCTCTGCCCCTTGGGAGTAACATTTGCTCCCTTCAGTGATGACACCCAACAGTGGAAGTGGGGGTGTTCTCCACTGAGAACAAGGTTTAGGCTATAAATTATTTGGTTCTGGTTTTGACCCATTTTTGCACGTTCTATGGTATCTGGTTCTGTCTTTCACTGCCACTGTGTATCAGCCACTCTTAACTCCTCTGCCTCTGCTTTCCGTATTTCTTTTCATTGGATTTTTGGGCCACACCAGGAGATGCTCAGGACTTATCTTGGCTCTGCTCTCGGGATCACTCCTGGTGGGCTTGGGATGCAGTGGATGGAACCTGGGTTAGCCTCATACTCTCCCCGCTGTACTCTCACTCTGGGTCCAGTCTCTGTTTCTGTGTTGGTCTCTGCAGTGTTTGTGTGAGGTGTGTGTGTGTGTGTGTGTGTGTGTTTGCGGGGTGAGTGGGGGAGGGTGGGCACTATGCCTGTAGGAAGCAGGTTGTGCATATGACAATGTGTGATGTGGTGTGTGGAGATGAGGTGTATGGTGTGTGTGTGGTGTGTGCATTTAATGTGTGCTGTGTACATGTGAAGTGTATGATATATGTGTGGTGTGTGACTATGAGAAGTATAGTGTGTGTGTAGGAGGTGGATGATGTGTGTGTATATGAGGTGTATGGTGTGTGCGGTATGTGTATATTGTGTATGGTGTATATATGAGGCATATGGTGTGTGGTGTGTGCATATGTGTGTTGTGTTTATAAGGTGTACATGTGTGGTGAGTGAATATGAGGTGTATGATGTATGTGTGTAGGAGGTGTATGATGTGTGTATATGAGGTGTATGGTATGTGTGGTGTGTGTATACGATGTGCCTGATGTATGTGTGGTGTGAGGCATATGGTGTGTGTGCATAGGTATATGAGTTGTATGTGTGTATAGATGTATGGTGTGTATGTGGTGTGCATATATGAGATACATGGTGTGTGTATAGGAGTATGATGTGTGTGTGTGTGTGGTGTGTGCATATGACGTTCACGGTGTGTATATGAGATATATGATGTGTGTATATGAGGTGTATGTGGTGTGTGCATATAAGCTATACTGTGTGTGTGTGTGTGTCCGTGTGTAAAGGAGAGACACCATCTGTGACTCTGGTGGTCTCCCCCAGCCTGTGCCCTGCTCACCGGTGGGAAGTGTCCCCTGAGCTCTGCGTTAGGCATGGGGTGACCGGACCGCCTGTGAGCTGCAAGGTGCAGCCGGGAGCCGCTGGGGCAGGAGGTCGGAGCTGCTGCTCACTCAGCGTGGAGTTTGCTCGTGTCAACGGGTTCATGGGCCTGGGTGCAGCTCGTCAAGGCTGCGGGAGCTGAGGCTGGGCCGCAGCACCGCCCAGGGAGCCGGGCTCTGTCTG